CTAAGGGTGGAGCCAATAATTTTTTTCTAATCTTGGCTATTAAATAAATATATAAATATTTTTTTAAGATTAATTATTAACTTATTTATATGAATTTTTAAAGTTAATAGTAAATTTTTAATTTAAATATACTACCTAAAATATTAAAAAAATAAAATTAAAAGTACATAAAATTAAAGTGAAAGTAAAAATAAACTCAATATTAAAATTATATTCTTCAATGTTTTATAAAATATAATTTATCTATAATCGAATCTGAATCGATATTGTAACAATTCTTCAACTGAGATAAAATAACAATTTCATGTCAATTAGAAAACAAAGTAATTGAATTTTCTCTCTCTCTCAATTCCTTATTCCTTCACTCGATTCTTACTTATATTAGTATTTTATAAGTTAGAGTTTGTAAATTTACAAGGTTATTCTCTCACTTTTCTTTTTTTTTTCTTGGGATTTTTTTAAATAATTTTCCCATACTTTTCTCTCTTTTTCTCTCACCTTTCCTTTTCTTTCCTTTTCTATTCTACTTCTACCCAGTCAAAACTATATAAAATAAAGGAAGAACTGATTTGTTTTATTTTTTAGTGGCAAATAATCATTTTACCCTTAATGAGTCGTTTTGCTTTTATTTGACAATTGTTTTTTGTTAGCATTGCTAAGCTTTTTTCATCCTAAAATTTTAACCAGATTTTATTCAATATATTTTAAGATTTCTCATAAAATGTTAGCTCAATCTAATGGTCAAATTAAAAATTACATTCAATAACGTAAAATTGGTCAAATTAAGATTTTTCATCAAATTTTTGAATTTCTACAAAATTTCTAAAATTTAAACCCAAGTTAAAGCATCATATTAGAAGGTTCCATGCAAAACTTTAGAATTTTTTTGATAACTCAATAAAGAATTAAATTTTTTTATATCAAATTAGTAAAAAAATATTAATAAAATCTTGACCTTGGCTAACCCAAGCCTTTAACATGACTCCGCCCTTTAACACAACTTTATAAGTTTGTGTTTGGTATCAGTTTGGTATTGTGATAAAATGTGTTTTTTAAAAGTATTTTTTATTGAAAATATACCAAAATAAAGTTTGGTATTGTGATAAAATGTGTTTTTTTATTGAAAATATACCAAAATATTTTTTTTTAGATTTTTTTAAAATTTTTATATCAACACTTTAAAATTATTGAGGAATATTAAAAAATTATAATTATATTTTTTTTCCAAGTAAACACATCACTTTCTTCTTCTTCATCTCTTCAATTCCATATTTCTTATCCAACCCCCACAAATTTGTTATCAATGATGGTTTGGTTATTGCCTCGTGTTTCAAAGCATGTTAGCTAACTAGTTGTATTATATTTTAGTTTTCAGGAGGAGGATTCCTCGAATAATTAGCTGTTTTTTATTCAAACAGTCACTACCCTCTAATTTTAAATATTCCTTTCCTTGCATTCGTTTCTCAAGCCAGCCTGCCTTTTGTGGCCTGAAGTCGTGCACATAACCTTGATCAAATTAATATGAACACACTTGTTGGTCTGTCTCTACACATTACATATTACTCCATCATATTTTAACTCTATTCTGCTTTTAAAAAGAGTATGTCTCAAAAAGAAAGAAAATAGTCCACTTAACGAAGCTTTTATAAGCCTTTTTGACCAACTATATTTGATTGCTTATATAATATTTATACCTGTGATTACTATATGGTTTTTGTAACCTTGACCTTAATGTGGTTAATTTGGACAATAACATATAATCTCCTCCGAAGGAGCTTGGTCTTTTGAACGGTAGAAGAAGAAAAAACCTAACACCCTGAAAAAGGGATTATTCATTTGGATTCTAATGGATAAAAGGCGTTGCTGTTGAGATTAAGGGATGTTGGTGATAAAAAATATCTGGAATTTGTATGACCTTTAAGCCTCAATATAATTTTTCATGGCTGGATCTTTTGGTTGGCAAGCCAGATCTCCTCAAAAGCTAGATATAGATAATGTAAATAATGTAAATACAAATGTCAATTACCGAATTGTATGACTGAAAAATATAGGTGACCACGTGGCACTTGAGTGTAAGAATTTTGATAGATGACATGGAATCAATGTAATTAATCATGATCTTGTCTAGCAAATTGACCTAAGTTCTCATTGAATAAAAACATTAAGTGGAAATTGACTTGATTAAACTCTAATTTGACTTCTTAAAAAAAATTAAAATGATGAGTTTTATTTTAAAAAATAAATTAAAATAATGTTGTTTTGATCTGACTGTGGTGATGTTTTAAAATCCAACATGCTCAAGAATTTAGGTTTTTAAAGTGTTTGGATAGAAAATTATCACATGTTCACGTTAATATTCTCTTTTGTAGAGTTCATCAAATTGACTATTGATTATAAAAGGACCTAATAATCACAAAACAATTTTTTTTATAGGAATTAGGGATTATCTAATGATAAAGTCAATAATTTTTAATACGAGATTATAATAAATAAAAAAATAAGTTTTAAATTATAAGAATATAAAGTCAATAATTTTTAATACGAGATTACAATAAATAAAAGAATAAGTTTTAAATTATAAGAACAATAGTATTTATTCTTAATTGTGTATGATAAATACTTGGTAAAATAAAAATATGAATACTAAGAGAATAGAAAAAATATTAACAATTTACCTAGTGGCATAGAAGATATATATAGTTTAAAAAGCTTGAATGGAGAGTTTAGAACATCATCTCCTCTTGATATTATCGATGAAAGATAAACATTCATTCCACAACATTAATTAAGGATACATATCTTTTACATAATATTTAATATCGATGGAAATACAGTAGGCACTTACAAGATTTTTATACACTTAAGAATATAGGCAGATTATCATTACTGATTTTTAGCATTTTATGTTAAAAAACATAAGAATAAACAAATAAATTATTATCAAGAACATTAAGTCTGATATTTTACCAAATTCATACGCATTTAGACTCAACAAGTAACTGAATCTATAAATATTAAGTATGATATTTTTATAAACTCACATATATTTAGACCTAACAGATAACTAAATTCAAATGTGTTAGACCTAGAAGTACAAAAACTCATAAGCTTGACGTGTTGTCAAGCCTAGGTATATTATGTTAGTGCTCAATCTTTGATTCTTTTAATTATTAATTTTTAAGTAAATATTTTTATAAATACATATATATACAAACTTAGATCCATCGTATAGTTAAACTCAAAGGTATTAAATCTAGAAACAAAAAAGATTTATACATTTTATATTTTATGAAATCTAAATATATCAGGTTAGTAGTATATCTTGGACCCTTAATAATGTGCTTTAAAGCAAATATATATATATAAAAGGTTAACACATCATATATATATATATATATATAAAAGGTTAACACATTAAATTAATTCGAGTCATCTCATCTACCTTGTGACTGGAATGTAAAACGGCATTTTATAGATTTGATCTCTATCAAAGGATTGCCATTATTAGTTTGGAATGTGTTTTTCGTTATAAGATGGTGAGAGTACATTGCCTCCTAACACCTAATTAAGTTGATTGTCTTTAACCTCTGTCAAATCTATCTCCCTCTTGGTGATTTACTTGACAAAACCCCAATCTTGTTGACAAAGGACAAGCATAATTGACAAGTAACATCAAGATTAGGGTTTCGAAATTCTGACAAGAAAAGACAGGCCATAATGATTTAGTATCTACTAATCATTTGCTACAAAATTATGTATGCGCATAATATGCCATTGACTGCTAGTTATTGAAGTACATGCTTGAGATGCATTTGATCTCATCTCCAATGACTTATTAATGGATCGCTATTATGGAAAATGAATTATTCAAAAGACAATTGAAAAGAGAGTGATAATGTCGGTTGGCTCTAAATTAATCTTTGATCATAAGGAGTTAAGGACCTGGAAACAACAGGAAACATGATGGGTGCGAATTTTGTCCCACTATGTCCATCACCATAATCACATAAAAAAAAAAAACTTCTAATTATGACAAATAACATTGTTAGTATCGCCATCATTACTGTCTCAATATAGCATCATCTATACATATACACGTATACATAATAGATGAGTAAGTGCAATTTATGCACTAACCACTTGCCATTAACATACATGCATGTTTAATTGATTGTTTGGGATTATACTGTGGAGTATTTTTTTTTAAAATTTTTTGGTGCGAATTTTGTCCCACTTTGTCCATCACCATAATCATATAAAAAAAAAACTTCTAATTATGACAAATAACATTGTTAGTATCGCCATCATTACTGTCTCAATATAGCATCATCTATACATATACACGTATACATAATAGATGAGTAAGTGCAATTTATGCACTAACCACTTGCCATTAACATACATGCATGTTTAATTGATTGTTTGGGATTATACTGTGGAGTATTTTTTTTTTAAATTTTTTTTTGTTTATAAATATTTTTAAATTATTATTATTATATATATATATATATTATTTTTTACATCAACACATCAAAATTATATATAAAAAAACACTACAAAAATAATCAATTTAATGTTATTTTAAGACAAACATATTTTTTAAAAACACCTAAAAGTAACAGTTAACACCCTCATGACCTCTTTCCTTGTGTTTGAATAGAAAATTATACAGGCAGCAAACTCATTTATCACTCTCATTAAACTTTCAAAGATTAAAATTCTGTATTATATTAAGTGATGAGATTAAAAGAACAAAGAAAAACTATATATAAGAGTAGACACTGCGAGTGTATATTGATGCAGTAATACGAGTATAGATTTTGAAGGGGAGTTTCAGTTTTCTTCACAATGATATTTGCAGAGCTTCTCGGCGTGACATTCGTGTTAGCTAGTTCCTTGGAAGGTGTTCTTGGAACCAAAAAAAGAAGCAGAAAAATAAATCAAGAACTGTAGCAGTGGAGGCGTGCCACACCTCCCCCTCTGCTTATACACGTCGGCTTGTAGGATTTTGCTAAATAAACAATTCCTGTGAGAACATAGACTTAGACTAGCTACCTAATCATCCATACGTGTAGCTTATAAAAAACATTCAGACTCCTAACTGCAGACCGTGCGAAGGGAAACTGATTGAAACTTGACATTCCAAAAATTGAGGCTCCCCAAGTCAGCAATCTGTCCCTTAATTATTCAATATCATGTATTTGATGTCTTCAAGATAACAGTATGACTCTTCTATTAAAAAAAAGTAAGATTAAGGGTATATAATTAAAGCAAGTTCAAATAATTACAATAAGGATCAAACTAATTAATTCACACCTCCGACCCCACCAAGCTAGCTGGGGCTACCCTGCCTGTGTACGTGCGGTTTATCATATGGTTAATCGTATATTTGATTGGTGTATTTTCGATATTTTCTTAATATGATTTCTCTATTTTTTTTTAATTTAATTTATCTCTCAACTCAAAAGCTATTTTTTTTTAATATTTGAGCATGCTAATAAAACATTAGACAAAATTTGTAAAGCTTATTCTTAAGAGTTCTTAATTTGTGTGTATTTCTATAATTATCAAATTGATTTATTCAAGATTAGTAAAACATATTAAATAATTCACGTTTGAAGCCCGTGTCAAAAAAACTAACACATAAAAAATATATAACTAATAGAAAGTCTTGTTCTGTAATTAGAATATTTAAATTTTATCTTCATGTTTTAGTCACTGCATGCCACCACATCTGATTTCTTCATTTTTCTGTCATACTACATTTCTTCTTGTTAAAGAATTTTTTTTTGTGCTTCCAAATAGTATCTCCCTATAAAATTTCTATTTTTAAAAAATATGATACAGTAATTAAAATTTTACAAGTTTCAATTATAAACTTTATGTTTTTTTATTTGAATTAATCTTGAAGCTTAATTATTAGGAAATAATATTTCCATAAATTTTTATTATGTCATGGTAAGATATTTCATAATAATTATACTAAAAGGTAAGGGGTAATATAGCCTATCGAGGGCTATGATTAGCTAGCTCAACACAAGGAACCAAAGAGGGGCCAAACTTGGAAGCGTGATATTTTCTCCTCTCAAAAAGATTCTCCAAAATACTCACCTCCCCAAAAACAGAAGATTACTATGGCAGCTCGTGCACCAGCATACCTGATACCATCCCCTGCACAAAGATATTAGAGTGAAGGTCGCACAATCTTTCTTAGCCACGCTACAATCTTATAGCAGAATAGCTAATCACCTCGTAAGAAATAACTAGGCGAAAGCACACAGTAGATTTGCTATGGAAAACTGAAGGCCATTAACTTTTTGACACTTGAACAAACAAATGCTTCGATGACTTCAAACGATTGATCGTGAGAGAGAGGAGGGAAAAAGAAACGAAACTTCATGTACGTTTCCTTAAAATCAAATGGCTCCTTGGAATAATCTACAGCTTTTGTCGAGGATGTGATGTTCATACACTCTATACTGTTTATTACTAAAATTTTCCCTCTGCCATCTATATAATTAAGTATTACTAAAAAATGCTCGAGTTTTTTACCATGCAAGGCTTTATCGTTCATTTTCTCACATGTTAATATGGATGGGTTATGTAAAATTTTATGTTTTTTTAATTTGATTCTCTAACTTTCTTATAATGATCTAGTTTTAATAGAAAACTACTTGAATTTGATTTCTTATGAAAAGATAAAATTACATAAAAAAAAAATCAAAATGAAAAGACACTAAACATGAATGACATACCATCAATTTTATAAAAAATATACTTTAATTCTTAAATTTTAAAAATCATACAAATTATATTGTATATTATTTTAGTGTCTCCATATTTTTTCAATTTAATTTTAGTATAAAATTTCATTTTTTTTATTTTTTAATCCCCAATTAAGACTATATTTTTTAATCACTGGATATTTTTTCAATTTAATTTTAGTATAAAAGTTCATTTTTTTATTTTTTAATCACTGGATTCTGATAGTAAAAATAATAATAATCATTGATATCAATTTATATCACCAAAATAGACTATATTTTTTACAAATAATTCTATTTGATTAGACGAGTTTGTTTTTTTTGTTTTATACTTTTAAAATTTATGTATTTGATTAGAGGAGTTTTTTTTTTTTTTGTTTTTATACTTTTAAAATTTATGAAAAAATAGATTTGAGCATAATGATTTTGGAATTCAGGTTGATTTTAGTCTTGAAAATGGTATTTTAAATTTTTTAAGTCATAGATAAATTTATCACAGTTCCTATAATATTTTATAAGTGTTTTAAGTTAGAAAATAAAATGAAAGTTGATTTTAGTCTTGAAAATGGTATTTTAAGTTTTTTAAGTCAAAAAATAAAATAAAAACAGGCTTTTAGGTAAAAAAAAACTTAAACCTCAATTTTTCAACTCACAATGATCAAAATTTAAACAAATCAAGCGACATTTTTTTTTACAAAAACTATTGGGTTCACAATATATGCAAACAAAAAAATATTTTATGGCTTAAAATGTTGAGTTTACCCAAGCAGCTCCTAACCTTTACTCTTTTTTTTTTCTTTAATTTTTTAAAAAATTAATGATTCTTTTTTTTATAATTTTTCTCTAATTTTTTAATTTATATTTAAATTAATACTCTTTTTTATTTATTTTGTTTTGAAAATCCTTTTATATATAACAATTATTTTTTTAGTCATATATTTAAATTTAATTTTTTTTATTATTCATCAATATTTTTTATATATAACAATTATTTTTTTAGTCATACATTTAATTTTTTTTATTATTATTCATCAATATTTATTTATATTTTTTTGTATGGATAATCTTTATTTGAAAAAAATATTCAACAAATATTTCTAATATATATAACTTTACATAATATTTTTTTTATTTTATTTAATCAATTTCATTTGCATTTCTATTTTTATTATTTTCTTAAATAAACAAATTATTTTATTAAATAAATTTAACAAAGTCGACCAGATAAATAAATTCCTTATCTTTAAAAATTTAATATCTTAATCTACATCTATTATTTTTTTAATTTTTATTTTTAAATATCATTAATAATTATTTATTTATTTATTTATTCACACATATAATTCTTGATTTATTTAATTACATATATCTGAATTTATTTGATTATATGTATGCATACATTTTTTTTATTTGAATTTAGATTTTTTAAACTACAAAAATACATTGAAAAAACCTATATATAGCATTCTAGAAATGGTAAAACCCAAAAACTAAAGGCTTCTAAATCATGGTACCTTTCCGTTATAAGAAACACTTCATTGACGACCATATCCAGCTGGTGGATGGGGCCTCCAATTAGCACTTCCATGAGGTGGCTGGGGTCTCCGATTTGCTCCACCATGTTGTGATGGCATTTTATTTCCTCTATGATCCAGTGCTGAAAATCGGTCGCTGCTGGGATTGCTATGGTTGGCAGGCGGAGGAAACCTACCACCCCATTGCTGGTGACTACCAGCTCCAGGTGATTGGTAACTCTGATAGGCGTCATAACCACCTTGATAAGCATATGTTGAGGTCCCAATTGACGTATGTGCCACAGGCCCATGTGGATATCTTGGTCTACCATTCTGATGAAATTCAGGTGAGTGGTACACGTGCCTTGGATGTGGCCCACTCATTTGGTTCTCTCTTTCATTCTGAGAACGGGACCTTCTATAAGAGGGGTTGGCACCTGCCGAACCATATCCATGGTCATAGTGAGGTGGCATATAAGGACTTGCAGAACGGGGATAACCTGCATGAGAATAATCTATTTCTGATTGTAAAGTTCCATAGTGTCCATGATTGCACAGGCCATTTGAATAGAAAGAGTGTGGTGGGCCGCAGGGAGCTGCAAAATAAGGTGGTGGTGGGGTATGCATATGATTGCCATAGCCATTGCAATCTATCTTCTGTTGTAGACTATTAGAAACTAGTCGATGTGATGCCTCCCCAAGATGATGGGCAGAGATGGTTCCAGGGGGATTTCGTCTGAAAGGAAGAACCAATCAAACAGTTATAGCCGAAAAAGTGGAACATGTGCTGTAATTGAAGCATAAATGAGCGTGTGATGGGCTAAGGAAAGAGTGCAGCATCTTATCATGCAATCAACCAAACAAGAATTATTTCACTTGCAGGGTAGATCAAGTAAAGCACACCTGTCATTCTCCCAAGGCCTCCTCCCAGAATCCTCATGCCATAAAATTGGTTCAGGTTTCAGATCACCTTGATCCACCGTCTACAAAAAAGAAACAGAAATTGATATAGTGACTCTCAAGCTAAGACAACTTTGCCAAACATATACATGCTCCATGTTAGAAGTTACATAACCAAAAGAAACATAATAAACCTACAAGAACTAATTATTATAGATGACTGGAATAATTCCAGCAAACTTTCATTCAATAAGCAGAAAGATTCAACTGTAACTGCAATAATTTAAATAAAAAGCAATTGCAGATTATATATGCTCAGAGTAAATAACCACCCACATGCACCAGATTTTGCACATCTAAAATTATTTATCTACCTGATGTCATATGATAAAATGCAAATGAATTGCATATGAGAAACCAGTACAGAGAAACAAACAAGGTTTGTCAGCTAAGCAGTCACGCTTGCTGTTAATAAAAAACATATCATGCTAGAGGAGATTTCAAGTAACAACTTCGATTGTGGGTCCGTTTAGGCATCACTACCAAATACATACCTTTTTGGGGAATATAACACCAGCAGGGGGACGAGTGATGTGTGTGTGTGGATCAGGAAGTCTGTATATAACACATCTGAATAGAAAAAAAGAAAAAAACAATAAAGGAACAGGAACAAACCATAGACAAATTATGACTTAAAACAATCTGATAGTCATATCACACTCAAACATTTATAAGCTTACATGACTTCATTGGCCAAAATGTCTTCCATGCTTACAACTGGAGACCTGAATATAGGAGGGTGAGTATCTCCAGCACAAGGAGATAAATAGCCATTCATCCCATCACTGCAGCCATAAATAAAATCAGAAAATCATCCAAACAGATTTTAAATTTGTGATTACTGTAGAAAATATAGTTCTTTTAAACCCAAAATCTGAGAACATAGCAAGCCGGTGAGCTTGTAGTGAACAAAAGTTAAAAACATGACTTGAGATAAGAAACTTCAAGTGTCACATCCAAAAGTTGACAGTAACAGGCACATGAATGCATGGCATGCTAAATCCACAAATCATATAACATATTGGTAGAACAACTCCCACCAATGGATTGATAGGGAAGCAAGCACAATCATAACATGATTTTGGAACATAGAGTAGCTTTCAGTCTCAATGGAAAACTAGTGTCATATGTTGTAGCCTAAAGATTATAAGGTGACATTTTCAAAGATAGAAAACAGCCTGCAACAAAATTAAATCCATTTTCTGGGATGGTAGGAACTTGGTTGAACATAAGAAGAATCCAACACTTCAGATAACACCATTATGGAAAATAGACTTGATTAAAATAAAGAAAACTGAATCTGTGGTTTATAAAGGATTTATTTCTCAAGCACAAACCCCACATCAGAAGATTCTCTTTGAGACTGCATGGCATGCTAAATCCACAAATCATGTAACATATTGGTAGAACAACTCCCACCAATGGATTGATAGGGAAGCAAGCACAATCATAACATGATTTTGGAACATAGAGTAGCTTTCAGTCTCAATGGAAAACTAGTGTCATATGTTGTAGCCTAAAGATTATAAGGTGACATTTTCAAAGCTAGAAAACAGCCTGCAACATAATTAAATCCATTTTCTGGGATGGTAGGAACTTGGTTGAACATAAGAAGAATCCAACACTTCAGATAACACCATTATGGAAAATAGACTTGATTAAAATAAAGAAAATTGAATCTGTGGTTTATAAAGGATTTATTTCTCAAGCACAACCCCCACATCAGAAGATTATCTTTGAGACAAGAATGAACATCCATATACAAACTACAAAAAATATTCGAAAATGAAATGAATCCAACATATAATAGAAAATCCAGGTCAGCAAGAAAAGAGTAGCCACATGAACTTTGCTTCCCAGATGACAGTTGATTTCAATATTAAAATACTATTACTGGTTTGCTTTCCCTTTATTGTCAGCCAACTAGCGCAACTTTTCAGCATTCTGTCCAAAGTTCGACTCTTAAAGGACAGTTGTATTCAAGCTTGAAGGCATGACACTAAGAATGGATAGTTACGCAACTAGATGATCACTTGACATTTCCTATTCCAACTTAACAAAGTTAACATCCAGAAGCAACAAAGAGCAATTCATGTAAAAATCAGAACCAATCAAATCCGGACCCCTATGAAAATTACCCACTTTCAAAACTCAATGTTAATACTTACGTAATTTATTCTGTTTTAAGTGATTCGATCAATACAGACCTCAACTCAGGATTGATACGCTCCTTGACTTCAGCTCGTTCTTTGTCATTTAATTGTTTGCAATGATTATCGAGTAAATATATGCTCTCAGAGAGAGAATGAGATGATGACACAAAAAGCATGTCAAACATCATACTGTTTCTCCTTGCTTCTTCCTCCTACAAAACATTGCGACATTCAGGTAAGGTGATGTCAAACCATAGGATCTTCTTGTAAGAAAATTCAAGAAATGAAAGAAACAAATAATGAAGCAGACAACTTGATTCAAGATGGATACCGTTAGTGTGTGCTCAATTTTTTGGACCTCTGCAAGAAGGCGAGATTCATCAATGAAGGGAAGCTTTGCAATACCCTATTTGGAAAACACAAGAGAATCAATGAGAACCACTTTGACAGAAAATTACTCCAACCACACAATCATTCCTGGAAGGCCACATGAATTAAGATCGCAAAGATAAAACAAACCTGCCATGCATATCGTTTTCCATTCATGTCCACTTCAAAATCTGATAGATGCAACAGAAGTTAGAACACATCTGATCATGCATGTATATAAAGATAGTCATGGGTCAAGCTCTCTTTTCCAGTAAAGATGTGTACCAGTAGGATAAAAATCAATGATAGGTGAATTTGGATCAGTCATCAATTTCCTATAGTGTACAGGGAGAGCATGGGAACTGCAAAAAAAATTTATTAGCTCCTTTTCAAGGAGTTTTTGCAAATAGAAATGGCTTCCCTGAGGGGATATGAAGTAAATAGATAGGATACCTTGCTGCAGGGAAAACTCCCAAAAGCTGGTTGAATGGTTTGAATGGAGAACCAAGTTCAAAACTGATGTTCAGTTCACCAAGATGTGTGAGATCTGAAGCAAAGGGTGCATAGTGATACGGATAAAACCTGAAATAAAGAATTTATCCAGTTCTGAGTTGAATATCTTAAGGTATTGACACATCAAGTGCAAAGACAACATGTAAACTGCAGTTTATCTTGAGAAGTCAGTCTGAACCATCAAATCATCTTTCAACAGAGCCATGCAAGAATATTTCCTAAAATTATAATGGTCAACACCTAGACTGCAGTGTCCAAATTGCCACTTATTTTGGCAGGCATGAAGTTTAAGAAGGAAAAGAGCAGAAGTTGCAGCAGAAACAAGAACTCAGAACTGCTACAAATGAAAATTCAAAAACTCACCACTGCCAAGAACAAACGCCTTCATAATAATAATGCATGACCCAACACAGCCCTTCTGTATATCTCAAAACCTACTCAGTTGAATGTCAAAGATATAAGATCAGCTTACATGTCTCATAGAAACATCAAAGATGGAGGAAATTCAAAATCAGTAGCTACAGTGGTACATGTACTTACAACATCTCTCCGTATATCTTCCATTTCCTCTAGAGTTTTTGCAGAAAACTTCTCTTCATAATATCTTTCCTTCCAACCTGGTTCTCCCAATTTGACCTGGTAAAAGAACATTGGAGAGAAACATCAGTAAAAACTAGTGGCCCAAAAAAGGAAAAACAATAAAGAGAATTTGGCAGGATACTAAAATTCATAGAACATGAATGATAATCAACACTTCTATAGGAGACTCAAACCTTGTCTTCTCCATGATTCTTTGAGTTAAAAACATCAGATTTCTCACGAAGTAACCCCTTAAGCTTAGTTTTCAATTCTTCTTTGTTTTCAAGTACCTGAAAAAAATTAAGTGTCCATCATATAAATGAAACAAACTGCAGATTTCAGTTCCATAAGATAATAAAATGAGTAAACAGATGGACTCTTAATCCCTCGCCAGCAAGGGCTCCTACCAAATGAAAGGCTAGCCCATAGAAAATGAGTCCTAAAAAGAATGGCTGAAGGAGTCAGAATTACATTAAAGTGCCTCTCCTGAAGCAGGAAAACATACTTCTATTTCCATACTATTCTCTGCCTCAACAATGGCAGCACCAATATTGGCTGTTGAAGACAAATGTGCAACTTTATGCCTCCGAACAGAGGATGATCCTTTACCATCAGATGTCTGAGAATGTGTTCCATCATCCTGATATGGTGAAGGTGTGGGAGCTGAAGCAAGACGAGAGCCATGAAATCGGGCAACCGCAACCAAAGATTTAGGTTGATTTTGAGGCTCTGCATCATCACCTCTCCTTGCCTGTGCCTTTTCACGCTTAATTCTTTCTGCCTGACGCTGAAATATAAGGACAAGATAAATTAGTTCACAGTGTTGAAAAGAGGTGCTTCTTTCTGTCAGTGCCTCTTCTTGTCTATCCAAAACTTTATGGTAGAAGGTTCCATAGACTGTAGCTTATAAATGAAAATATTTTTGCTTCTACAACTAATAGATATCTTATTGTCTCATATCCATCTTTTCAATACCCTGCCAGAGATATCACATTATCGTCCCATTTACAAGGAAAAAAAATACAATTAGTAACCAGGAAAAAATCAATAAAATTCAGAATTGATCAAAGGTGCACAAAACAATTATGCCTAAACTTCATATAATTCCATCAAAAAGGGATGCATGCATCCAAACTTTTGGAGAAAAAATTTAACCTGGTGCAATCGTGCTCTTTTCTGGAATATCTTATCTTCATATGAACCCACAGCTTGAATAAAATGCTCCACTCTATTTAAATTAGGCTGAGAAAACAGAAAGTTATAAATAACAATTTATGAGCACTCTTACTAACAGTCATAAGTTCAGTGATAGAACCCATTGCCAGCAGCCAATTATTTAAGTAGAACATATAGCACGAACATTGAAGTACCTTGCTGCCATCTGTCAAATACCCATCAAGCACCCTAAATTCCTTCTTATAAACAGCCATCAGCAAGTTGATTGCACCCTGAAAGAAATGAGTTTTTTTTTTAAAAAAAGAAAAGGTGTTTTCTTTGTTATGCTGTAGTTAATTTATTTCAGCAGGGAAAGGATCCTAAGCAGCTACTCAAAGAATTCACAATCTGTATTGCCAAAAGATTCATATGGTTTTTCACATGTGCCAGGTTCAATCAACAAAGTGAATATATCCATCTTAAAACGCAGAAACAATGTACTTTCAAGTAAACTATTCACGAACCTCACGAATCTCCAGTGTGGGCATGTGTGGCAGGAAATCATTGCCAACAAAGAAACATATGAATATAAAATCATCCACAGTACGTTCCAAATCAATCTCAAACGGAGGATTGGGAATTCTGAATTCATACTCCAAATACTCTCTAAGAATCCAGATATTGAGAAACTGCATCCAGAAAAGAGTTATGAAACAATGTACTTTCAAGTTTACACCCACAACTTTCAAAGACCTTTAAAATGCACCTACCTGGTATGGTTTTTTGGTCACAGCAACGTCATTGCCTTTCTCATCAAATTCTCCTGCCTTTCTCTTTGCCTTTCCTTCGCAATTAGCTGCTAAATGACCCATCTGACCACATAGGAAGCATTTGTCTTGTTGTCCAGGAGTGAAAACAATCTGAAGCGAACCATTAAAAAAAGGCCGTTAAAGAAAATTAAAATCCAACATTTAGCAGATGATTCATCAACCTTTGTCAAAATAAGTGGAAGTTCAGCAGTGGGTTACAGCTATTTAAAATAGACTCTTTCCATCCACTTATTCTGATAATTGATGAACAAGCCTTTGGTCAAAATAAGTGGCATCTATTTACTCTCTGCTAAATAACTAAAACTAATAGCTAAGAAACAGCATAAGAAGTTTGAAATTGAATTCATTTTTAGAGAAATGCAAATATCTCTAAACATCACAACAGACCTCTCGAAGAATTGAAAAATGAACTTCATGGGTAGCCAGAGCCAACATGATTAAATCTGCATCCTATCAGAAACACCAATAAACAGAGGAAAGAATGTTAGACTAGAAGGAAACTAACAGTTAGGCTATAAAAGATCAGGAGACTCAGCTGAGGAAGAAATATACCAAACCATACAGGCAATGGCGTGTATTTGGATTATAACCGGGAAGGTTTCTTTGAAGACGGATATAGGACATGATTTTGTGTTCCCCTTCCCCAGGAACATTTGCATCAGAAAGGATGACCTTCACAAAATAGAAATGTGAACTGAAATTCAAGCATTATTCATTTGCTACTGTTACACACACCAAAAGGTGAGTACAGCATTATATTTGCAAAAGAAAACAAAGCACTGCATGAGAAAAAAAATTAACAAAGGACCACATTATGGGTTATACCTTAATTTTCTTCCATCCAGGATCATAATTTAGTCTAAGATGAATATAGTACTGCAATGCAATTGACAAAACAGCCATGAATTCAGTTCCAGGAGTGATAACATTGGAATCAAAAGTTTGAGATGTCTCCTTAGGGGGAAGCTTCCTGCCCTCCCTCTCAAACTCCTCTCTTAGCCTTTCTTCTTCAGCAGCCTACAATACAAATAGGGAATTACTGATAGTTACTGAAATGGCGTATGTCTGGCTGAGTGTTAAGTTTTCCTCTTTTAGAAGATTATAGCAAAATAAGAATGAAGATGAATGGGAAAAAAAAAAACATAAGGAATACTGAAAACCTAGATAATCCCGAAACAGATCCAAAAATGAACGATAAATACAGTCACAGGCATCCTGAAAAGTTAAGTAAATGTTCACTAGCAAAAACTTGAAGATTCCAAAACTACCGAAAGTTCCATAAATAGTCAAACAGGATGTCTGCATAACCAAGGATTTATCTATTGCACACCCAAAAAGTTCACCAGGGATAATTGCAGTTTCCAAGAAATGACTAAGTAAAAGGGACTACAAAGCAGGTATCAGGATCATGGGCTCTAGTACTCTCATTTCAAAGAAACAATTTGATTAACTCCGAAAACCATCAGTTTTCCACAGGAAGAAGAAAGATTATTTTCATCCAACAAACTCTAAGTGCTCCTCAGAAAATCTTTACCTAGTAAGCATTCCTTCAAGAGTTGTTTTTATATCTTTATAAATATTCTCCCTTCTTCAATAAGTAATTGGTTAAGCTAACCTCTGTGCTTTATCCAAAAAGCTATGTGTTACGTCAATTCACTTTCAGATACTAAGCATCCACTGTCAGCCATTGCATCAATACATGAACATGCCAAATAATTTTACTTAATATAAAACAAAACTGAAGCAGTAATTTTAACAAAGAAACTTGGTTTGCTGATTAACCAATAACCCATGACACTCTCCGACTGCATACAAGAAAAGGAGCCCTCCATTGTTAACATAAACACATACCGCATCAGCTGCATCTTTAGCTGCCCTAAAACGCCTAGATCGCTGCTGATTCATTTTAGCACGAGGTGCAACTCCATCTACAAGTCATTCCCGCAAAATCAGTACACTTATAAAATACAGTAAAAGCAAACGACCCAATTTGAATCGCTCACCAATTGCCATGTACAGCAATTTCCGAGGCCTCACCATCACAAAAAGCCTATCAATATAATCAAACATACACTGAAACACCTCATCGAAAGAAGCAGGCGAAGGCTGCAAAAGAAATAAAATTTCAACAAGCAAAAAATAAATCACATTATCAAAAACATAAATAAATCCAGTTTGATTCAACTCCATTAAGACCAAAATAGCATTCTAAAACACAGAATAAACTTCCAAAGACAGAAAATCAATTCAAACGGAAGCAAAAAGGCAAGAGCGGGAGAGAATCGGAATCTTACTCTGTCTTCGGGATGAAAGCAGGGATGAATAATCCCGTTCATATCGAGATATAAATTATCATACTCGATATTGTTAGGGTTAGGTCTACTTGTATCCACAGGAATCTTAACGCCTTCGATAACAACCGGTTCTTCTTCGATCACATCCACCACCACTAACGGATACTTCTCCGCTAACCACCGATAAAAGGCCGGCACTCCCATCACAAATCACTCAAACCAGCGACTCACCAATCCAACTCGCTTAAAGAAACGGATTGAATAGATAGCATAAACAGCAATGAAGTGAAAGCTAACCCTTGCCACGGAGAATATGAGAAAAGCAAATTTCTCAGGTTGCGTCCGCGGATAATGTTACGTTTTAGGATTTGTTATGCGGCGAGTTAGGTTACGGGGAATTTTTTTACAGAGATGCCCGGGGGTAATTTGACGTGATGAATAAGAGAGGAAGATATCTGGGGATAAATGTAAGGGTGATTGTGTCTTTTTAGAAGGTAACAGGGTCAGCAAGCGGGTCGGGAACGGGGGCTGGAAATGGATTGTTCTCTGGCATAACCATTAGGGTCAAGAAGGGTGGCGGGGCAAAGATAGGCCTTGTGAATTTGAGATTTTCTGTTTATCTCGAAGATCCTTTATAGGAGTAACCTTTTCTTCAGCCCCCTTGACAAAAACAAGCGTGAAAAAACTACTCTTGTGGCAGGTGGACAAGAAGAGCCAGCCTTTGCCCGACAGCTCTACCTTCTCTTCGTCTCAATTCGATGGATCTTCTCAATTTTTCTTCAGTTTTGTTCAACTGGGGTCTACCATGTGAAGGTATTTAAATCGGACCATTCCTAGGCGATTTCTAGCCGCTACCGTCATTTACCAAGATTAATAGATTGGATAAGGTGGAAATGACTGAGAAGAGAAATGACGAATTACACAAGAACCAATATACTTAAACAATTGAAAATTATAAACGAGGAACGATTATCTCTTGTTCTTCCAAGGGTTCTTCTTCATACCTGGTGCCAAAACAAAGAATAATTCCAACCCCTTTTGTCTAATCTCTCCTCTCTCATCCACCCCTTTTCCAATCCCACAGGAAAACAGAGTACAAGTAAAAGAGTCCGACACTCGCACGAGTAAATAAAAGTCGGGGAGAGGCGGAATGATTTCCTGATACAACCAAACGCATGGCGGCAAACATGAATGATTTTGGTTTTCAAGATATTGGCAATACCTATCCAGCCATGGTTTCAGCACACCAGATTTTTTTAAAAAATATTACTTTTTTATATCAAAAACATTTTAAAAATCAATTAAAAAAACAGACTAAACCTTCAGAAAAGAAAAAAGAAACACTCTTTTCATTAAAGTGCCTTAAATTTTTTATAAATACAGTTTTTTTCTTGGCAATCACAGTGGTTTCCCGGGGCACGCCACGACAAGTTGTGGCCATCACTGCCTAGTTGCTTTCATTCATCTCTCATGATTTCTAGCCCCTTACTGCCCTCCCAGAAGCAAACGTGTGGATGTCTTTGGCAGTCGAATCATATTCCTGTTAAAAATGCGGCCCAGATTCAGAGGCCGCCCCCTCCCCCACCCCAAGGCCTCTCCACCTTACTCCCACAACAACCAGCCCCCAGATTCTGACAGCAACCTTAAAAAACATTAAAAAAACACCGTCGTTATCATGTCTTTAACAATTAAACTAACCATAGCTCCTCGCATAATTAACCTTAATTGTCACGAAAGAAACAGAACAAAATTCCCAGCAATCCGACCAAAACCAATCTACCATTCAAACGCATTGAACCCTATTCTATACAACAACAAAAGACCCGGAATGTTTCAAGCTTCTGTATCCGGTACAGTTATCAAGAGCTCCTTGATTGAGCCAGATGGTGGGGTCTTGGTGGATGTTATAGTGCCAGAGAGTGAGAGGGGGTCAAAAACCTTGGAAGCAGAATCACTGCCTACAGCGAGGCTGGCTAAGATTGATGTGGAGTGGGTTCATGTGATAAGTGAAGGATGGGCGAGTCCCTTGAAAGGGTTTATGAGGGAGAATGAGTATTTGCAGAGTTTGCATTTTAATTCTTTGAGAATGGAAAATGGGACTGTTGTGAATATGTCGCTCCCTATTGTTTTGGCAATTGATGACGAGACCAAAAAGAGTATTGGGTCTTCAAAAGATGTTGGATTGGTTGGTCCTGAGGGTGATTTGCTTGCTATTCTTCGAAGGTTTAGTTAATCTCCTTCTCTTGTATATGTTTTCTTCTTTTTTTTTAATTCATGGCGTGTTTTGCCATGGTGGCAGAATTATATCTCAATAGAATACACACACAAAAATATCATTTCTGTAATGTGGTCAAGCGTGCCAATTTAATGATCAGCACAGTTAAACCTGGAATTTATACTAGTTACACCATTTGTTATTTTATAGTTTTATGTGGAAATGGAATGCTGTTTGTTGTCTTGACATGAATTTTTAATAACTTGTGTTGTGTTTACGAGTAAAAAAACAATGGTAGTTGATCTTTCGGAAAGGATAAGAGCTAGTTTCTGAATGTGGGAATTGAAGCAAATAAATGCATTACGAAGTTGCTTTCGTTCAGTTAAACTTTTGATGTTCCAGGAGGGCACACTTCCATGTCTGGAATTCTGAATGCATTGATGGTGCTGATACCCATTGTCGTGTGGCATTAGAGGTCATTTAAACACATAGTGGATGTTCTTGTTTACATGTTTGAAGCAAATGTTCATGTGAAACAGCTTCAGGATAGCCAACAGCTTTACCATGTGTGTCGAAACCCAATTATCGGTCTTGTCTTGGATGTGATCATCATGTTAGAAACCCTATGGGCTGAATAGGGCTGAAATTTCAGCAGAGGCTGTGTTTTACACTGCTGGAAAGCGGACTCCTGCTGTTATACTTTGGTTTTCCGTTGTTGGGTGGGTAGTCATGCTGCATTGCCCTTTGAATTTAAAAAATCATTTCACTTATGCAAGCTGCTCCCGACCTGCCAAGTTACTTGACTTTTTTCGTTTAACCAAAAGGGGATTTTCTGAATTTAAAATTTTATTGCAGTATTGAGATTTACAAGCATAACAAAGAAGAAAGAATAGCTAGAACATGGGGGACAACAGCACCTGGATTGCCGTACGTTGAGGAATTCATTGCTCCAGCAGGAAATTGGCTCCTAGGTGGAGATCTAGAAGTGCTAAAGCCCATTAAATACAATGATGGACTTGATCATTACAGGCTTTCTCCCAAACAACTCAGGAAGGAATTTGATAGGCGTCAAGCTGATGCAGTTTTTGCATTTCAGTTACGAAACCCTGTTCATAATGGGCATGCCTTATTGATGAATGATACACGCAGGCGGCTTTTGGAAATGGGTTATAAGAATCCGATTCTACTGCTTCATCCATTAGGAGGTTTCACAAAGGCTGATGACGTTCCTTTGGATGTTCGGATGGAACAACACAGTAAGGTTGTATTCAGTAATTTCTTCTACATAGCCTGTGATGACATTGATCTGATCATCCATTCTGTGATGATACATATTCTGACACCCTAGGAAAACCGCTACCATTCTTTTCTTTAACCAATGATGTAAAATGATTCTATTTGCTGTGGAATTGGCATTCATGGATCTGCTTTTGAGCAGGTTCTAGAAGATGGAGTTCTTGACCCTGAAACTACAATAGTTGCTGTATTCCCGTCACCTATGCATTATGCTGGTCCTACTGAAGTGCAATGGCATGCCAAGGCACGGGTAAATGCAGGTGCTAACTTTTACATTGTAGGTCGTGATCCTGCTGGTATGGGTCACCCGACAGAGAAGAGAGATTTATATGACCCTGATCATGGAAAAAAAGTTCTAAGCATGGCTCCAGGCCTGGAGAAGTTGAATATTTTGCCATTTAGGGTAGGTTTCACAACCTCTCGCCTCTCTGTCAAAGCTCCTTTCCTATGCATTATTTGTCACTTTTGGCTAGTATCTGTAACAACACCATAAACTTCTATTTCCATCTTAGTGCATTAATAACATCATCATTGCAGAAACATATTACAACCATTGCTAACTCTGACGAGGCACAATAGGGTCAGACTGAACATTTTGAAGGTAGTATAGAAGACAATTTGTTGACAAACATGCGGGCCAGGTGGCTGCTCATATAAGACGGGGTTAGATCTAGTAATGAGGTGCTGTTGTTTACTGTTTTCCGCTTTGATATCTGTTTGTATCTAACGTCAATATGGTGGCACTTTACACTTGAGAGTTTGTAATGCATCTGCTGGGCTTAAGTTTTGTGGCTTAAGATGTGATGGATTACTGATGTTTAGAAATCAAGGCTCTAACATCCTTGTTTTTGGCATATCTACTCAGCGAAGCCATTGAGTAATCTTTCTGTTATTATACTGTGCAGGTGGCAGCCTATGACACTGTGGCAAAGAAGATGGCATTTTTTGATCCATCTCGTTCCAAAGATTTCCTCTTCATCTCTGGAACCAAGGTAGGAACAATATATCTGATTTCATAATTATTTTTCTTTCTACAGATCAAACCGAGTTGACGCTCAATAAAGCCTTGATTTCCTCCTTGTTGTCTATAATTCATTTGCATAAGTCAGTTATGATGAGTTGTTTGACTCAAAAGTCCTAGGTATCCAATCATTTCAAGTTCCATTTGTTGACAAAGAATATGACATCTTCAAGCAAATCTTATTTTAAGAGTAGAAAGGAAAGCATAATCACTGCTGATTGTGCGCATTCTTTGATCAAGGGTAATGTGGAAATCATTAGGTGATTGTTTTTGCTACTGCACAGTTATTGCATGGTTTCGTGGGTTTTATATAGTTGGTTCAAGATGTGGAAGTTTGCTCTTAAGAACCTTCTCAAACTTCCTGTAATACTGTTGAAGATTTTTTTTATCCTCGTATTTTAGGCAGCTGAAGGTTTTGTATATAATTTTCTACCTGTAATTTGGTATCCGCTTTGTTTTGTTGCAGATGAGGACCTATGCTAGAAATGGTGAGAACCCTCCAGATGGTTTTATGTGCCCTGGTGGTTGGGAAGTCCTTGTCAAATATTATGAGCAGTTGCAGGCCGAAGAGGCAATGCCAGCTGTTGCATCTGCTTAAACCTATGATTTATCACCAGAATTAATGCCGAGCTAGCTCAAGAGAAGCATGAGTTTTTCCTGACTCGGGGTGGTGGTTTACTTATTTGAAGAGTTTTCTTTCGATACCTGGCGGTTAGCATGGAATTTTTCACTGTGTTGTTTGTTATGAAAGTAAAAATATTGAGTTGTTCTGTCATTCATTTTTAAGACAATGATCCACGCGCAAGAAAAACATTTATTGCTGCCAATTATAAGGTTAACCAAGGTGGTTTTCTTACTTTCCCCGTGAGCCTTGCGATAATATCTTTGTGTCAGCTTGAGCTGTATCTCGGTTAGCTACTAACGTGTGTGCTTTTGTGCATTCTGTTTGCTTAAAAGATTTGTGTGGATTGGCTGTGGAACACTACCAGCGTGCAAGTTCAAAAGACTGATAGTTTGATTGGATAATCATTTCATTCAGAAGGAGCGGGATGAGAAGAAATTCTCATGTCCGGTTATGCAGTAGAGATTGAATTGAGAAACAGCCATCAACTATCACTCCAGAAGAACCAGATGGGTTTTTTTGTTTTTTGTACCGTCATGAACGATGTTGTTCGTAGCTCATTTGCTGATGTAGCCTCCTGGTGTTCAACAGGTTCTCCTGGTGGGTGGGCCTTTCCATGCCTTCTACCTGTTTTCTCCCTCTCATGATTCTTCTTTTCTTGCCATTTTATACAATATTTTATACTACCCTAGAGCAAGATATTTCCGATGTCTCATCGTCGGAGGCTCGGCAACTGCAAGGACTATAATTTTTTTCAAATAGTTGCATGCTCTCTCCACGATAATGGCACGCTCTCTCCAAAATAACCGTTACGAGGGGCCCAGTTTCACTGCATGCTGGGCTCTTCTGGTTTGGAAGGCACTGGACATAGGCCTAACAGGCGTGGTTAGCTCTCTGATTCTGTCTGGCTAGGATGCTAACGTGCAAGGATTCGAATATTCAACCACTAATGGTCAGTCAACAATCCTTTCAATTTGATGGTAGCGGCCAAAAAAGAACATATTATTTATGAGAAATTTATAACCAATGAGTGAATTGACTCGAATCGTACGCAAAATGGGGTTTGAGGTACCAAAAGTGACTCAAATTTGATGGTAGGTAAACGAAATAGGTTTGGTGTGGCTGTGGGCTTTCAACAAGTAAAAAAGTTTTATCCATGTAAAAAACAACAATTTAATATTTTTAACAGTTAAAATATAGTTTCAACTACCTAGCCATGTCGATGCCACGTTTATTTTTTGAAAAATTATATTTAAAAAATTATTTTTAAAATTTTTTTGTGTTTATTTATTATTAAAAAAATTAATCAATAAAAAATAATTTTTGATCAATGAAAAATACTTTTCAATTAATAAAAAACACTTTCTGGTCAACGAAAAATATTTTCCAGTCAAAGAAAAATTTAGTTTTATTTTCAAGAAAGTATTTTTCTTTTTAACTGTGTTTGTTTCTAAACTTTCTTGTGTTTGTTTGCTGTTAGAAAAGTTGGTCAACAGAAAACACTTTCCAGTTAAAGAAAAATTTGGCTTGGTTTTCAGGAAATTATTTTCCTGAAAAATTTAGACGGAAAACACTTTCTGAAAATTGTGAGAAATTTAGAAATGTCATTCTTAGCTGATTATATCAAATTTGATCCTCAAACTTTTGATTGCTATATATATTTTGTTTTGAATATTTATTTTTCAATTTTATTTTTTAAAATTTATTTTTTATATTAACTTTAATCCTCATTTTTATAATTGTTATTTGCTTTTCTACTATTATTTTTTTATTGAAATTTTTTATCTATCAAATCTGGTTCTCATTCTTTTGATTGTTACTTATTTTATTTGAAATATTTTATGAAATGTTAATTATTACTATTTTAATTTCTTCATCTTTTTTTTTTAGATTTGATCTTTATTATTTTGATTATTAGTTATTTATTTTATTTGAGATAATTTATGAAATTATATTTTTTTCAATTTCATTCCTATTTAACTTTTTAATTTGTAAGATTTGTTCCTTATTATTTTAATAAATTTGAGAAAAATAAAATATTAATAAATTATTTTTCAGTTCATTTTTCATAACAAAATCGAACACTGAAAAGTGTTTTCCAGTTCATTTTCTATAACACTATCAAATATCAAAAAATAATTTATTTTTTAAGAATTTATTTTCTCTAAAATTTATTTTTTTTAAAAAATAATTTTTCTATAAACAATCATAAACTTGGTCTAAAACCCGAACCGAGGGGACATGATGTGCTACCAAGCAGGTCTAATCAGGCCATTTTGCACTCTTAACCTTGTTATTAAACTGGGATACCTGTAGGATAGCTAGTCCTTCTTCATTAGGAGGACCACCACTGCGACTAGTTGTCCTTAATGCTTTGGGCTTCTGCTCTCTAACACCTAAGAGCAAAACACAGAAAAATGGAGGTAAAAACACGAACGATTTACCACTTTATAACCGCAACCACTAGATTTTCTGCCAAAATTAAGTCGGTTCTGAACCCGATATAAAAAGTGGTTGAAACATCTCAAAAAATCAATCCATAAATACAGTTAGTTGTTTTGCAGTTTGACAGCACTTGAATGTGCTTTACAAGTTAGAAAATTATCTCGACTTCATGGGCTCCTTAAAGGCACACGTTTCATCTTTGTAATCCACACCCAGCCCATCCACCCTGGCTTGGACCCATGGTAACAAAACATTGGTCCCTTTTGCGACGTGCAACACAAAACTATCATACAGTTGTGTTCCACACCAAATGAATTTGACATTAATTCTCCCCCTCCATGCTGTTACAGTACTACATGTGCACCTTAATGAGTTTGAGGTACAAATCCGTGAAATCCTTTGGGTTCTTCGTTTTCTGGGGCTTAGCTGTCATGGGGGCCGAAGCAAAATTCCTTTTCTTCTTGATTTTACACATACTTTCATGTTAGGTTTGAAAGCTGCCATCAATCTCGTCTGTCTTCAAAATTGTTAATACATTGGACTCTATGATCATATGTGGTGGTTAAGGCCTTCCCAGGATGGCAACATTTCCATGTATATTGCTGTTATTGCCAGGGTTTTGTTACCATTGTAGCCTGCATGGTCCATGGCAACCTTTTCTTTGTCCTCAGCATGTTTATTACTGTCGATATAGTTTCTTGGATCGATCCTTTTCAGCTTCTAACCCACGCCCTATACTCCTTACGGGTTTTTTCTACTTAATCTCGAAACAAAAAACAGGATACAAATGTGGGATCAAATGATAGGATGCACAGATCGATCTGGCTTTCATTGGCAAATGCTTCACCACCCTTTATTTCGTATACGGTAAGAAATGCCCTTCCACAAAAGATCCAAATGGGACAGTTTGAAAATGTTTGGGTAAGCTACATGGCTAAAGTAGTTGGGAGGGAATTGGGTCAAAGTCCTTACAACGTTGTCTTTACAAGAGGTATTGAAGGCAAAAGTAACATGGTCTTCATGTGCTTAGCTTATAATAGGCGGTCATTTTCTACCCAGGAAATTGCCTTCGTCTAGCCATCAATAGTCACTGCTTTTCAGTGAATTATAGAGGACCCACTTTTCTGTTTTTATCTCCCTTTCACCGGCTAATCTCATTCGCAGAACATGGGGGCAGCTTCCTATGAAGACTGTGTGAGTACCCTCATGGCCCATTTCTTGTTTCAGCTCTCCTTCAAATCCTCAATCAAACATCATAGGCAACCTTCAATCGGTTGCGTAAATAGCAAAGATCTAGAACCGTTATAGTCAAGTCATACCATTATAAGACTTTCATAATTAGACTCATGATTTATCAAACCGGCCGTTTGATTCAAGTTATTGACCAAGGACTAATTAAAGCAGCAAGATTCATGGATCTTCCATTCAATTTTTCTGTTCTTTGAATTGCTTATAGCTATAGCCCGTGTAATCTATTGGGGAGATTTTCTCAAGGAGCCCGTGAAGGACGACAAGAAAGTGTTAAAAATGTGTACACGTTCAAGTATTAATTTGCTTATAAAGTCACGGCGTTGGGATATAATAATTGTTTTTTAAAATATTTTTTTTATAAATTCTTTAAAATAATAGTTTTTAAATTTATTTTTAATATCAACTTTTTAAAGCAATATATAAATAAATAAATTTTATATAAATAAATAAATTTAAATTTTGACATCATAGTTTAGGACACAATCTCAAACGAGGCTTGATAGACAACTACCATACAAGCATGCATGTATTGTCGCAAGGAAGTGAGGTACTGTCATTGTACTCGTTATTATCACGATGATTATTATTAACTTAAATGCAAGCTAAACGAGAGTGAGGTACTGTCACTGTACTGGTTATTATCATGATGATTATTAACAATAAACTAAAATAAGTGTATTTTTTATGGTATCCCATCTCATGTATTATTATTTATTTAAATATTATCTTTTTTTAATTAATATTTTTTTAATTTTATTTTTTGATATTATTTTTTTATTGAGTTATCATTTTAATTAGTCATGAGTTTAGTAGATTAATTCAAGTTGTTTTTTATATTTTTTTAATTAATAACTCAAGTTATTTTTTATATTTTTTAATTAATTTTTTTAATCTTATCTTTTAATATTACATTCATTAGGGATTAAAATTCATAATTTATTTTTATTATTTTTTATGTGATTATCTTGATCTTATGATCAATACTGTAAATTTAATAGGTAAATTTGAATCATTTTGTTAAGTATTTTTTATTTTATTTTTTAATATTATCATTTAATATTAAGTTCATTAAGAATTATACTTATAACTAAGTATTTTTTATTTTATTTTTTAATATTTTCATTTAATATTAAGTTCATTGAGAATTATACTTATAATTTTTTTTATGAAATTATTATAGTCTTGTAATCCAAATCCAAGTCTTGAATTTGATCTATTCACTTGTGTTAACCCAATATTTTAATTTTTTTTATAAAATTATTATAGTCTTACAATTTAAATCCAAGTCTTGAATTTGATTTATTCACTTGTGTTAACTCAAGTCAATCTAATATATTATTATTTTAATATTAAAAAAATATTTTTTTAATTAAATTATATTTTTATCTATTATATGAATTAACTTGAAAAATCAACTAAATTATATTAAATCAATCCTTACATAATATAATATTTTTTACTAAAAAATATATCATCAGCACCAAACCATTCTTTTCCATTCAAGATCCGACCCACAGCGTAACCTGACCCGGAGTGTAATAAAGGTCAATCATCTAGTAAAAAGCAAAATAGGGAAAGAGAGAGAGAAAGAGGACAAGGCAGGACAGGAGCCGTATGAAACATTAAAAAGGGAGCTGAAGGGCAAGTTTTCTGGGCCTTAGAACATGGGGGGGCTAAGGTATTCTGCATTATAGACAGGCTTGGAATTAGGCTAATGCACTCCTGTTTCTCTCTCATTTATTTTCCCTATTTATGGCTGACCAAGACCATTTACGTTCTTATTTTGTTGTGCTAGCTATGACTAGTTGGAGAACCATCGCAAGCCTTTTCCAGTAATTTCCTCCAAGGCAATAAACGTGTTAAAATTACATAAATATTTTCTGATCAGTTATTAACTCAAAATAGACAAAACAAAGATAGTTGAGATTTATATTTTGAAATCATAAAAATTTGTCCTAAAAATATTACAAAACATGTTTCTTTTTTTCCATTTCTTTAACTAAATTAATACAATTTTCTCTCTTATGTATTTATCCAATAATTCTTTTAGATATACTTTCTACCAACACCTTTCTTAGGGCACTAATCTCTCCTCTTAACTTCTCTAACATTCTTTACATCTTATTTTATGGATTGATTTTACTTACAGGTACCCATCTGTTATATATTGACAGGAGTTCTCAGGAAGTGAAAAACTAAACCTATCAGGACTTTTATTTCACTGGGAAGGAAAAGCTTTCCACTCCCTCAAATTCTCACACGCTTTAGATTTTTCTTCACTTTTCATGCTTTAAATACTGTATAAATGTGTGGATTCAACATGTGTGTGTGAAATGAGTAAGGTATATGAACTACTAAATGTCTATTAAAACTGATATATATTAGCTAAGCAAAAAGATTGATTAATGATGATTGATTAACCATATTTATGGAGTTGGATACCGTAAAAAGTGGTGTTAGAATTACAACAGTGATGGGAATCGTTGACTGATTAATGGGGCCGTGCTGCCTCCCTTCTCCAAGATTACGAAAGATTCTTCAATTTTTACAGAGCACCCCTAGCAGGAAGGGAATGAGAGGATCATCATCTTCCGTGGTCTTGTCTTGGCTTGAGCCTATTGCTGCTAGCCCTCATCAAGTTAAAGCATCGGATTTTTATTTTCTTAATTCTAAATAAAGGTAGATGAACATCAAGAATTTTTTATAAAATCAGCACTACTCCTCCCTCCAAGAGCAAAGGAAAGAGCTGATCAACAGGAGTGACATGGATTAATAGAGCATCGAAGTGTGTAGCTGCCGTGTCACTATTAGTTTGATGGAGTGCATTCAACTAAAGAAATTGTTGAAAGCAGTCAAATTATTTCTCAAATACATGTATGAATTTCCTAAACTATAGCTATATAAGGAGAGTAAATGCACGGCATGCTTAATTTGCTATGGCAAAACCCTGCAAGGCAAGTCGTACCAGATGCACATGCATGTGAATAACTGTTCTTTATCTGTCACTCAATCCACAGAATCACAGGCCCAGCAGTTAAGATGACCGAAACCCTCAGCAGTCAGCACAGATATTATTGATCACTGAACCATGAACAATGTAGAAATGAGAGAAGGGTAAAAATTCTCCTCTTCTTTTTTACAGTATCTCGTAAGTGATGAAGATATAGAATTACAAGTGTCAGGTCAATTAACCTCGTTTATATATAGAGAAGAGGCCCCATTTTGATCATTAATTACATACAAAGACTCGAGCCCAGATCACCTTAAATCTTAAGCCAAGTCTTGGCTATTCCTGTAGAACCTTGGCTGGATTTTCCATCTGAATTACCACAGGAATGTCATATGAACTGCACTTAGACTTGATCACACGTTGCTCTTTCTTCTAGGATATTATGCTGTTAGTCCTGGTGAAAGAGTGAAAGAGAAGCGAAGTCAAAGTTACTCGTGATTTGAGAATTTCAAAGATCAAACATAAGAAATTGAAGAATGTGTCCAACCATTCGTAAGGGGGAACACTGAAAAATCTGTTTCTAAGATACTTGAAGAAAAATAATGTATGATATTCCACACAGAAAAGTTAAACAGCTGGCATGAAAACTGTTAAATGTGAATGGAAATTATATAGATCAAAGTTATGGCTTGCTTGGATTTGGATTATGAGGCAGTGGATCGAGTTAATAGGTTTACCCGGATTTACTTCAAAACAACGTAGTTTAAATAAAAATTTAAACTAGACTGATATAACATCATTTTAAATAAAAATTAAAAAAAATATATATTATAATGAGCACATTGAACTATACTCAAGTTTGATCAAGATCGCGGGTTTACATATTGTGATTGTCCAGGGTTGACGGCATCATTTCCCATCATAATTCAGAAACAAACATATCCAAGTCAAGTTCTGCGTCGATGATCACTTGATTAGTTGACCTTCTGCACTGGATAGGTTTGATAACGGTGATCTCGACCAATAAAATTGCTTTTGACGATAAAAGTGATAGTACTATTGCAGGAATGTTTTTACTGTTTCACTTTTGACTTGAAGATCAATGTCTGCCCAAAAAACCAAGTAAATGAAGAGGAAGCATAGGAAACTGCAGTGGTGCTTCCATGAACTTGCAATTGAAGGTACAACTAAAAAAAAAAAAGTGATGAATTCACATGTTTCTCTGGGTACATTTTACTACAGACAAGAATAACGAATTTACCTTCTTATATTTTTTTAAAGAAAAAAAAAGGTAAAGTTGTCTTTGTAAGGAGAGCATTTTGATATTTTTAAATTTACCGAGAGCATGATAAAAAATTTTCTTTTAAATTACATAGTAAAACATCATAAATATCCTTAAATTAATACATTATTGAGGGTAGATTTATATTTTTAATTATTAAATATACTCTAAAATAATTAATTTATCCTTATATATAAAAATATTTTGACAACTAAAAAGAGGTGTTTTCATTTTATCATTTTTATTTACATAGTAAAAATTCTTCATTGTCCTTGGAGTTTAATTTTTTATGCCTTGGATTTTAGGATATTTTTGTTATTACACTATTGATTTTTATTTTTTGTTATTAGGCAAAGTGATGGTTTTAAAAAAATAATTTGTTAGCATGTATTAGTCACGCTATAATCACTTCGTCTTTAAGTGACCAAAAATATCATTTTGTAGTTGAGTTTGAACCATCTTATCAAATTCTTTTGGCTGTGATTGATGTCTGTGAAGAAGTGATAATGAGTATTTAACAAATTGTTTTTCTTTTTATATATATATATATATATGATGTTGATGACTTATTTTTTTAATTAATTATTATCATATGTTTTTTAATGTTTTTTTGCTATTGTTATCTTCTATTTAAATCAAGTTGTTATTGAATATAATAAAATTAATAATTCGAGTGGCAAGTTTTTTTATTTTTTTATAAATATTATCATCATTTAAATATTTTTTATATTCAAAAAATTATATCGGTCTGCCATGTAACATGAACTCCCAATTTAGTGTGTGTAGAGAGAGAGAGAGAGAGAGAGAGCGCGCCCGTGATGTCCCTAGGAACGACAACAAGGTGGTGTAAACCCAATGGGCTAAACACCCGGCATGTCCTTAAGGTCAGACAGACCCAAAAAACACCCCTGGTTTGTCCTTTGCCCCCACGACCCCACATGACACCGCTCCTCTCTCTGCCTCTCAAGTCTCACGATATATACCCCCACAATCCCTTCGACTTTTTCACGCATTACCTCAACATCTCTTACTTACCGCAACCCCAAAAAGCCCTCCTCTCTCAAACTACTCTCCGAAAAATGGCTATCAGGAAATCAAACAAATTGCCTCAAACAGCAGTTATCAAGCAGATCCTCAAGAGGTGCTCAAGCTTAGGAAAGAAACAAGGCTATCATGACCAAGAAGGCCTTCCTTTGGATGTCCCGAAAGGCCACTTTGTTGTATATGTTGGTGAAAACAGAAGCAGATACATTGTGCCTATCTCTATCTTAAGTAGACCCGAGTTTCAAACTTTGCTTCAACAAGCAGAAGAAGAATTTGGGTTTGATCATGACATGGGCCTCACTATTCCTTGTGAAGAAGTTGTTTTTCAGTCCATTCTGGTCAGATACTGAGCTTGGAGGAATCTGCATCAGTGCTAGGCTATATTGTTTGTTTGGAGAAAATTAAGGCATGGTAGTTAGAGATGAAGCTGCTTCACTGCTTCTCTTCCTCGATTTTCTCTTATAAAATTTTAATTTTTTCCCCTCTTAATTTGACGGTGACTCTGACTGATCAAAACCCCCGTGAAATATCACTGAGTTTAGATTTGTAAATCTCGAAGCTTGAAGTTTTCCTCACTGTGGTGTTTAAAATTTAGCCAACCACTAAAATTGTACCCTGTGAGAGAACTAATGCAAGGAATACAAATAGGGTTGCTCCCCTTCTTACTCTCTCCCTCTCTTTCTCTCGTGCAGGAGCTTGTACGGACACAGCATCGCACTTTTCACTTGATTTTAGGGTTTTGTCTGTGGCAGTTTGGGCTGCAATATTATACCTGGGTTTGATCTTCCCAGCTTGGCCGTTAAAACTGTTAAAGATGGTGCCTAACGGACACACCTAGTTAGAATATTTTGTCAGAAATATATTAGCAAAAATAAGTAAATAAATAAAACCCATGTCGCAGCACAACTCTCATTTCCTTTCCATGGGGTATTTTCTTCCAATAAGTAAGAAAATACCAAAAAAACACAACCAAATTAATGTTATATTTCTGTGATCTAAATTCAACAACTGAGTAGTTTTTTTTTGTTTTTTTTTTTTTGAGGAAACAGCTGGGTATTAATTAATTCTTCTCTTACATAACTTTATAGCAATATTTTAGCAATTGCTTCACCAATTTTTATGGATTGTGGATATTTTTTACAAAGAATTTGATAAAAAAAAGTGACTCCCTTTTGCTTTAGGTACATTTCAAGTACTCTGGATGCCAGTACCGCAGTAGCAGTAAAAAAAAATCATTCGATAAAATCGATGATAAAAAGAGGAATTCATTAAAAATATAAAAAGTCTTTGTATCTTCTGGAATATTTTAAACCTATTCTGTCCTCCATGGGAATTTCCTTCTTCCTTTTCCTTGCCCATCCATTATTTAAGCTACGACCGCAATCAAAGGGCAAAGCGGGTGCTCAAAGCGGTTGTTTTCCAGTGAGTTTTTTTTAAAAAATATATATTAAAAAATATTTTTTTAACATTATTATATTAAAAAATAATAATTTAATCCAGAAAACAAAACATAAGACTTTCATCAATCACATCCACCGTAGCCCACGTGGTAGGGGCCCCTGCTGAAATCTGGTATAATCTTCGAGACTGTTTGTCATTGCTGTCAAACACTGTTTTTAAAAGATTTTTTTAATTTTGAATTAATATATTTTGAATTATTTTAATTTATTAATATTAAAATTAAACTTTTTGATATTTTAATATATTTTAAAAAATATTTTTAAAATCAACTCTTTACCGCACTGTACAAACAACTCTTATCAGCTTATTATAATCACAGTGATTAAGTGGTGGCCCGCCAAGTAAGTGCTCATATTGCACGCTCCAAAACAGTGACTCAGGGTTTCTTTTATTACAGCGATCCCAGAGATGTCCTTCTACTTTCCGTATTTTCATTTTCTCACGGTCATGGTTATACTCATCTATTATCTATAAGTACAAAATTTAAATATTTGTACTCACAAAAATAAATTAAAGAAAAATAATTTTCCAAACCTAGCTAATAAAATTATAAATATTATATATATATGCATATTAGATTAAAAAATATAAGTATTCTACATATATATTTCCATAATATAAATATATATTTAGATTAGGTTTGATAATATTTATATAATATCCAAGTATGATAATTATCTAAAAAAATATATCTATTAGAGTCGGATCAATATTTATGAAGGTTAAATTAAATTGTGATTTTTATTTCTCGATTTAATTTTATAATTGCATAAATGGTATGATGCAAAAAAAATATTTTTTTGTGGATGGAATAATTCTTTATACACGTACCATGCTTTTTGAGGGAAAAAATGATTGTATATTTAACTCAATCATTTATTTATTTTTATATATACACACACATATTTGAAGTCATCCATCTATTAAAAAACAATTACATAAATATAACATCTTTTAAGAAATCAAGTAATGAAACACGATCTAATTTTATAGGAAAAATGCATGATTCACGACTCAAATGTAATCAATAAAAACTTTATTTTTACGTGTAAAAATTAGTTCAAAATATCATTTACACTAAAGAATTGCCTTGGGGAGTTGATCTATCATATTTTTTTTATTGAAAAAAAAGGGCATGCTTCTTGTTAGGGTAGTCCCATCTCACTGTTTGTGGTCCATGACCCCACATCCAGGCCTTAAGAGCCGCCCTCACCGGACACTCAACTAAAAACTTTCATGGACTCCATAAATTCTCGAGCCGAGCCAGATGGTTAATCCAGTGAAAGGTGAGAAGTGCGCATCGCTAGAACAGAAGATAAGAATGCCCTAGCAGCTAGTCTCTGGCACATTAGTTAAGGTGCAATTACACGGTGAGGTGCCCTCTGTTCAGAGAATAGCCGACACAGTGGACACCATGCAGTCTAGCGGGTATGAATTTGATTTTACATTTTTAGAGACCGTTTGAATTGCTGTAGCTTTTATTTTTCCCTACCTTGGAGAAAAAAATCATTTAATTAATTAAATAATTTTTTTTCCCATTATATCCATACATAATTATTCTTTCAATTTTGATTTTATAAAAGCTAAAATAATTTATTTTCCATTAATAAAAACTTACTTTTCTTTTATTTTATATATAGAAATCTATCTCAAATGATTTTAACAATATACAGATTTTAAAAAATCACAACTAAAAATATTTTTAAAAAACTTTTTTTTTTATTATTAACCATGAAAATTAAATTATCACAGTGTCATGCACGCATTAATAAACCTATAACCACGGGGCCTTTGATAGTAACCTTTCAGTCCTGGATTAAACCATAATCCTTTCAATATTCAACGGGCAACTCTCACGCCTTTATTTTACAATGAAGTTATTTTGTGCACGATTTTCAAAATGTATGTATAATATTAGTCTATAGATCTTAAAAAAGTCATTAATTTTTTTAAACATCAACCTTAGATTTAAACCAAAAAATAAAAATTATATAAACCACAATTGATTAGAAAAGAGGAAGGTAGACGAGTAGAATATATAAAACATGGTCATGGGACCCTCTTCCTAGATGTTGTTAACCTAACTAGCTAGCTAGGTTTGAAGATAACACTAGCAAAGAAATATTATAATCTTGTTCACTGAATGAGGTGCCTTTACTGTACTTTTAAAAATCAATCTATTGAATTTAAGGCTGTGTCATTTTTAACAACTATTTACCCTAACGTGACGTTATACAGGAATGTTTTTGGATGGCTTCATGTTTTCAATATTCGGTCCAATGTTTTTTTTTTTTTAAACCGTCCTGTTTTAAAATAATTTTAATTTTTTAATTAAAAATAAAATTTTTATATATTTTTATCCTTATATATGATAATTTTAAAAATAAAAATAAAAATAAAATATTTTAATATAAAAAATATTTTAAAAATCAACTACTTTACCTATGTAATCGTGTATATCACCATCGTCTTGAAATATTGCATGTCACGTTCAAAGAACTATTGATTATGTACTGGGACTCTATTTCAGAGAAAGCTATCTTATAGTCTAATATATGATAGAAGAACCTGAGACGCTGTAAAAGAAATTCCTGGATTGAGAAGGCTTGTACATACGTTGAAAGTCTTTAGTGTGTGTCTACTGCATTAATATACTAAGTTATTTTAAAGTAAGGGAACACAGGCAGTTGAAATTTAGACAACCTTCACATGTATAATAGCATTCTTGGCGATGATTTCAAATTCTCTGAGTAAAATTACAGGCAGAGAAAAGTTAGATTCAGTCGTAAATCAACGATCACTCAAGTTGGCGAGTTTGCTTTTTTTTTTTCCTGGTTATTTATTCTTCTATGTCTTTTCAATGTCTCTTTCTTGTTAGCTCATGTTTGCCCAATTTTATTGTTATTTCTTAAAGAAAAAAAAAAACAGGTAACTCTTGGACTAAAATGTTTTTAATCAAATCTATTAAACCTCACTTCATATCCACTATTGAATTTAATAGGTTAATTCAATATTTTAATCAAAATGATATTGATTTAAAAAATTAAATAAAAATCAAATTAATTTTTAATTGAACCATGAGTTAACTTCCTCGGTTATGTAGGTTTAAATGGGTCGATTACCACGTCCCTGATTTCTTTTTTTGAGCTTAACGTGCCCTCAGTCATCTTCCTTCAAACGAGTCAACTTCTACCTAATCTCTTTTAAACCTAGCCCACTCCACGGTCTACCGAAATGACAAGTTCAGCTTTCCCTACCTCTCATGATTGAGGAGAATTAATGGGAAACAATAAAATCCAGGACCTTACTCTGTAGTTCTTTTTTTTTTATAAAAAAAAGCATGCATATGGTATACCTTTATGAATCCAATCGTAAAAAAGCAAGAAATGGAGATCGCTTTTTCGTGACAAACAAACATACATGCCCACATTAAAGAGATTGATATCTGCCTCAAGAAGTGGCCGTAATTGATATACAATAAAAGAGCCAGGATGAATTGACTTAGAAAATTACCTAGTGATTAAGACATTAGTGGTCGAGAATTGAGAAGTTAGAGCTATATACATGTGATTTTAGCCTAACTTTCGAAATAATATCAAGTGATGATATAAAAGTTAGAAGAATTGGATTATGCTAATGATAAAGATTCATGTGGTTGTATCAAATCGAGTGGTTACAATGTCACATTGTGCTTATCTTCGCTAGCTTGGCATTAATGAAAAGGTAAGTAATTTTGCAAAGGTACATCAATTTGTCCCCTCGTAGCTATGCCCCTCCTCTGATGATAAAACAAACACCACAATTCATTTAAAACTTTTAATTGTGAAATGTTCTATGACACTAGGGTTTTTGAATTCTAAACTTAATTACAGCTCTACACTATGGTAGAAATCTTTTTAATATTTTTTGATGAAAAGTCTGAAATTCAATGAAATTCAATGTTACGATAAAAAAAAAATCAATTGTTTATAAAACTCTGATAAAAAGAATCCAAAGCTAAATAGTAAAAGTAATTAAATTCAATATTTATTAGAAAAATAATCCAAAGAAAATAAATAATTTATTGTATGTACGGCGGCCGCTTGCAATTGGAAAGAAGCAAGAGAAAGTTGGGGGATTTGATTTACACGTAAGTAATTGCGATGTTGTCTTTGACTTGATTCTTCATCATCTGTTTTGTTGAATAAAGGTTAGTAAATCTGATTTTTC